GGACTTTCATCTGGGGGGCTTGGAGCTCCCATATGAATTAAATAGAAAAATTCGTATATCTGAGAAACTATTAGAGCTAGAATTTCAATTTTTACTGAAGAACATTTAGAGAATAACGGGCGGACTTTTAATGGGAGGCTTGGCACTTCCCATATGAATTAAATACAAAATTTTGTATATCTGGGAAACTATTAGATTATTCGAAATTGCAATAATTTGCGTGGAATCTCCCATATGTAACAAATTGTATATCTGGAAAACCATTGTAGTTAGAATCATCAAAGTCGTTAAGTGGGTTATATTGCTTTTAGGGTAGCACAGCACACTGGGTATAGCTAGTAAATAAACAAATAAAATATCTTTGTTTTTACGTTATTGATCATTTTCTTAATGCAAAATTTTTTAGAAACTGATTTTCTGCAAGATGTTTTATATGGAAGATAGGCTTAAATATCGGCAGATCCTAGTAAAACTTGGAGAAAGGATTTGTTTTTAATTTTTAAGAATTTTTTATTCATCCCTGCATAATTTCTCACACAACTTTTGAGCTTGCTCTGTTTTGTTGTTATAAACAATATATTTGCTTCCAAAATCCCACTTTCTGATCTCTCGGATTCCCTTTTTATTTAAAATAGAAAAATTAAAAACTAAACGTAGTTGAAAACTTAGCCGGCTTACAGTCGATTTTAAGCCGCCGCCGACATATTTAGTGTCAGTCGCCGCCGACGTTAATATTTGTCGGCACAGGGCTCTGCCGGACAGCAGGTTATGTAGTCACTTTACAAGAAAAAAATTTAAATTAATAATTTTTCACAAAAAATTTAATAAATTTTAAACAAAATGCTGTCTATGGTTACATCTTCTATGCGTAGTCTAGTTATACGCCAACAAATATCTTCGGATGTGCTAAGAAAAGTTCATACCACCGCCGTTTGTGAGGCGGCTCGTAAGGGTACACGCGAAAAGGCACGCAAGAAGAAAGTTAAAGTGGAAGTGAAAAAAGTTGGCTTCATACCCCACAACCAAAGGGATAAAAAGTAAGTAAGATCAGTTATTAGATGCTATGTGGAACTAATTGATTTATTTTTCCTTTAAAGAATAAATTTACAACGTGAAAATAAACATGTGGATGATTCTTGGAAACAAATTGCCACCGATAATTGCTATGTAAGCAAATATTACCGTTGGCCAGTGTATACAGTGGCTGAGGCTATTCAGTGTCATCGTGAGACCCATCATCCTACCATGTACAACGAACCAAATGCACCACTTATAGTTGATATAGAATTGAATATGAAAGGTGAAAAATCAACACGATTTGTGGATAATTTTCAACGTATGGCCATGATACCACATAAATTTGGACATGGCGAAGAAAGACGAATTTTGGTCTTTACCAAAGGCAATGTAAGTACTAAAACGAGGGTAATTTATAGGTAACTCAATTCTTATTTTTTTTTTTGGAAAGTTTTTAATAGAAAATTTTAGATTTTTAGAAAATAAACATATTGATAAATTTTTACTGGAAAGGATTTTTTTATAAAATACTAGTTGAATCTTGTCCGCGTTATTGACCCTAATAATGTTGGTATATAATTTTCATGTTACAATCTTAGTTGAAATGAAAATTTCTGAAATTTTAATGTTTATATTTTATCGGTTTAGTTGTTGTTGATTATAGTTGGACAAATGTTTAAAAACTTTTCAATTCCAGGATGAAATAATGGAAGCTCGTAAAGCTGGTGCCACTTTAGTTGGCGGCGTTGAACTAATTAAGGATATTACCAATGGCGAACTTCTACTAACCGATTATCAGTATGTGATCGCTCATCCAAATATCTTGCCAGAGCTGGTTGCTTTGCGCGGTTTAATGAAACGTAAATTTCCAAATCCCAAAGCCGAAACATTAGGAGCTAATCTCACCGAAATGATAAGACGTTTCATGGATGGTGTTAGTTATTCGGCAGCTAAAGATGAACATCAACAGGATTTTGGTTTAATAACCACGACCATTGGTACTTTGGATATGGATGTACAACATTTAGAGGATAACTTACGTTCATTATTGCAAGATGTAAATTCGGTAAGACCAAAACGCGAAGGACGTTTTATTACGCGTGTCCTTCTTAAGAGTCCGCCAAGTCGTGAACAATTGAAAATAGATGCTTTTCAATTTGTGCCGGAAATGTATGAAAAAACCGGTAGTGGTAGTAAAAACAAAGCAACTGCCAAACAGCAAGATGATGATATAGATAATCAAGATGAAGAAGAAATTGAAAAACAAAAGGAAGCTGTTAATTAAAATTAAGTAATTAAAAAGAAAATAAAACTGTTAAAATTGAATTTTATTTTAAAAAATGTTTATAATTATCACACTAAAGTTGATCCATATGTAAGAATATGACGTACTACAGCTGTGTACATCCATTTAACTATATTGGGACTAAGTCCCCATTTTATCCCGAACATCTTATGATAGGTATAGCAGTGACCTGATTTCATTTCCAACTTTCGTGTCAATATCTTTGAAACCAGTGAAATGGGTGTTCAGTTTGATACTGCTGAAGATTCCCTTCCTTTTAACATAGGATGGATTATATTGACCCTTAGCAAGAATTTTGCTGAGTCTGGCGTTATCTATAGATTCGTTATTTGTGCTATCTATAGATTCACAGAAGCTTCTCCACGCGACTACTATAGCTTTTGCATATGCTTTTAATTTATCACGGTATGGCTGCCACGATTTGCTATTGTAGCTTAAAGGCTCTACGTGTTCCTTAACATAGCTTAGTGATTGGACTAAAAACTTTGAAAGCTTTACTTATAACTTTAATAAAATGTTCCTCTATCTTTTAAGACCAGTAATTGAATATTCAGCAGTTGACATATTCTTTAGTTTGTCTCTGAGGATCCCTTGATGCTTGAACCAGTCGGTTCTTCTTGGGTTTCTATAGACCGTTTTTTCCGTCGAGTTATCGATTCTAACATCGAAGAGAATCCAATTGTGGTCTGAAAACGATTCTTTCCACTCATTATATGCAGTTGTCCGAATTCGGAAAGATAAATGTTGGTGTGTTAAACATTATCGTGGACATTCCTTCTTGCATAAAGTATATTATGGTTTCTTGCATATGTATAGTGGGATCCTGTATATTTTTATCGCAAGCTAGGCATACATTGGGTGCAGGCGTGGTTCAAGCTCTACTGTTTAGCTAGGAAAATTTGTGTTTTTTTAAGTTTTTTCTTAGTTTTATTTATTTTAAATTCATACAAATTCATTATATATTTTAAAAATTTTTTTGGATAGGAAATTTCCCATAGTTTTATTACGTGGATATATCTGTTTGTGCCTGATTAGATCTGCCACAGCCTATGACGGATCAGCAAAAGTTATTTTTTTATAAAAAATCAAACGATTACTCGGTTATGTCAAAAATATTTTCATCACTAATATACTGTTTGTTTTTACTAATCAGCTGTGAACTAAAGAAAATAACAAAGAAGAAGAAAGAAAAAATATCAAACAATAAAAAATCTGCATATTCTTGTTATAAATACATTTATCGAATAAAAACAGTAAATAAAACAAAACGAGATGAGTGAAGCAGAAGTGGAAAAAGTGCCCGTATCCTTTGCCTGTCAAAGATGCTTACAGCCTATAGTTTTAGATGAAAATCTTGATCATATTAGTGTTCACGCCATGGCAGAATTATCTCGTAAGTTTAAAATCAATGATTCATTAATTTTTAATGCAATGGAAAATTATTCTTTTGTTTCAACAAAATAGTGCCCATATATGCCAGCAATGTTAATACCATAGATACCCAAGATACCAGTGGATTTGACCATTTTGTGCCGCCCTATCGTTTAACAGACTCTATTAATGGCACTGGCTTTATGTTGGTCTCTGACGGACGCGACAATAAGAAATGGAGTGCAGATTTCAAATTGAAGGCCGAACTTTTTGATTGTCTATCGTCGAACTCGGAAATCGATCATCCATTGTGTGAGGAATGTGCTGATTCTATGCTGGAAATAATGGATCGTGAATTGAAAATTGCCGAAGAGGAATGGAGTGATTATAAGAATTACTTGAAACAATTAGAGCAACAGCAGGAATGTCCCAATGTGGCAGAATTGGAAAAGGAATTGGCGGAACTGAAGGAAAATGAACAAAATCTGTTAGGCGAATTAAGTAAGTTGAAAGAGGAGGAACAGTCTTTAAATAAAGCCATAGAAAATGAAGAATTGGAAAAGCAAAAACTACAGGAGCAGGAAGCTAGTTACTGGCGTGAATATACTAAACATCGCAGGGAACTAATGTTAACGGAAGATGACAAACGTAGTCTAGAATGTCAGATAGCGTATGCAGAACAACAACTAGAAAAACTCAAAGACGCCAATATATTCAATATTACATTCCACATCTGGCATGCTGGCCACTTTGGTACCATTAACAATTTTCGTTTAGGTCGTTTACCTTCTGTATCAGTAGACTGGTCGGAAATCAATGCCGCCTGGGGCCAAACGGTGTTATTGCTATGTGCCTTGGCTCGTAAAATAGGTCTTTCTTTTGAAAGGTATAAGATTGTGCCCTTTGGCAATCATTCATATGTCGAAGTGTTGGGTGAGAATCGTGAATTGCCCTTATACGGTACAGGAGGTTTTAAATTTTTTTGGGATACCAAATTTGATGCTGCTATGGTGGCATTTTTAGATTGTTTAACTCAGTTTCAGCAAGAGGTAGAGAAACGTGATCCAGAATTTTTGCTACCCTATAAAATGGAAAAGGGTAAAATAATAGATCCTTCTACAGGAAATTCCTACTCAATTAAGTAAGTTTTAAATTAATTCTTGGAAAAGGAATTGTTACTAACTTTATTTTATTTTAGAATTCAATTCAATTCGGAGGAACAATGGACCAAAGCCTTAAAGTTCATGCTAACAAATTTGAAATGGGGTTTAGCTTGGGTGTCCTCACAATTTGCCAATAATCAGTAAATTAAAAATATTTTTAGATCGTAAAATATTTGTATATTTTATTTGTTAATTGTAGACATAGTAATAGATATTATAATAAATTTAAATTTATCAATTACATTCATTATTTATACATCAATAAATTACAACTGTTGTTTACTAGAAACAGAGTCGCAGCCGGAATCTAAATTTGAATCTTTGTCACTATCCTGTAATTTGGTTTGATTTGAGTTAGAGTCTTCGGAATCCTTTTCCGCATTTTTATTTTTCGAGCTTTTCGAAGAGTCCGAGTCGTCATCACTTGATTCACTGTCATCGCCTGAAGAAACGTCGTCATCTAACCATAAAGCAGGTTTTTTCTTTTTAGCGGGTACAGCTTTTTGTGATGTAGATGCCTCATTTTTACGCTTTAAATCTGTGCCGCTGGCTTTTTTGAAGCCTTCTTCTACCGCATCACACACTTTCTCAGTAAGTTTTGATCTGGCCTCTTCGTACTCTTCATCCTTGAATTCATGCTTGGGCACAGCCAAGAGTTTTTCAATTTTCCTTTTCTTTCTTTCCTCAGCTTCGCGCTCACGTTCTCCTTGTTTTTCCAACCAGGCCTTAAGACGTTTTTCTTCGTTAATATCTCTCAAACGTCGACCACTAAGATCTCGGCAAGCTTCTCGGTTAGTGGTTTTTTCTATTTGTGCTCCTATAGCTCTTAGCATTGATCCAAAACCTCCTTTGCCTCCCAAAACACAGAGACGCACATAAACAGGAACTTCTCCAACCAATTCATCATTTAAACGCTTTCCATTTTGCTCCAAATAAAAATCATTGGGGGTCAATTTCTATAAAAACACTTTTTTTTAATTTTCGTTTTTTATTAAATTTATATATCATTACCATTGTTTCTGCCACATATTTATAAGCTTCTGCAGCACTTTCAGCATTAATTTCAATGTTATTAGTTTTATTAAAACAAATTTTCACCATTTTTCTACAAATATTTTATTTTTTGTGTGTATTGCTTGTTTCTCCATCAAACTTGTTTATATTTTGATAAAACGTAAATAATAGACTAGTGTTGTAAAATGTAATGATTTAGTAGTTTGACAACACTACAATAAAAATTGACATTTGATCACAGTTTGAAGGCCACTGATGTTGAAAATTACATACATATGTTTTGATAAACAAAAAAGTAAATAAACAAAACACGTGAAAATTGCACTATCCCAGAAAAATGAGCTCCTCCGACGAATCACATAATTCCTCTTCTGAAGAAGAAGGAGAAGAGGAACTGATTCCAGAGGAACAAAGAGTAAGTTTTTAGTGATATTTACTGTATTTTTTAAACTAATTAAAAAATTTAAATAGAGTGCAATTCGTGAAGATTTAAAATCCATGACCTTTGAAGAAATCATGAAACTCAAGGAAGAACTTGGAGCAAAGTTATATAAAGAAGCAGTCTTAGGAGTAGAAACCACTAGCAAATCTAAGGCGAAAAAAACTAGCAAAGACTTTAAACGTTTAAATAAAAATCGGCCAAGGGAACAAAGTGCCAAACGTCAGGTACCCTTCTTGGGGGTGGAAATGCGCACTAAACGTAAAAAAGAGGAGGATAGCATACGAGATCCTAGATTCGATGAACGCGCTGGAGAATATGATGTAAAAAAATTTAAAGAAAACTATCAATTTGTAAGTGAAATAAGAGAAAAAGAGGTACATCATTTAAAGCGTCAATTGAAGCGGATAGAGGACAATGAAGAGAAAGAAGATATTAAGAAAACCATGCAAAGGTTAATTAACAAAAATGTGGAAGATAAAAAGTGGCACAAGAAACAACAATTACTTAAGGAGGAACAAAATGAAATACAAAAAGCCATTGCTGAAGGCAAACAGCCTCATTATTTGACTAAAAGTAAGTTCCCTATCATTAACACACAACAGAAATGAACTAATTTATTTTTACATTTTTCAGAGGAAAGAAGAGCCAAGGAATTGGTGTCTCAGTTTGAGGAATTGAAACAGAAGGGCAAACTAAATAAACACTTGGAAAAACGCCGTAAAAAGAATGTGGCCAAGGATCGCAAACGTATTGGTTTCGATTAAGTTATCTTTACTTTTGTTTTTTAATAAATTTTGTATTCTTTAACATAAACTTAGGATAATAAAAATAAATTTCAAACTTAACCAGTACGTAACATTTTTGCTTCACGTTTTTCTTGTAATTCACGTCTTTGGGCTTCAACCACCTCACGTCTTTCCTCCAAAAAGGCGGCATAATCATCAGCATTTAATTCGCGTACAATCTGTATGCCACAAGTACGTGCAATACCCACTAACATTTCGCACATTTGCTAAAAAAATTAACAAATTATTTACTTTTTCATTGGAAGACAAGTAAAATACCTACTTGCATTGTGAGCAAAGCATTTGGAGGATCTTGTATTTTTATAGCGGCAATTTCATATAAATGTTTTAGAGTAATTTTTCCCGCAATTTCCTTGCCAGGACTCATAGCACCTCTTTGTATACCAGCAGCTTGCTTAAGCAGAAATGTTGCCGGAGGTGAGTGTATGGTTAAATTGTAACTACGATCGCTATTAACACTTATGCGACAAGGCAGAGGTATGCCTTCTTTAATTTCAGCAGTCCTTGTATTAAAATCCTTACAAAAGGCTGCAATATTAATGGCACGCTAGAATGTTTTAAATAGTTAGTTAATAGCTAATTTTGTTGATTCCCATAGACCGTACCTGACCCAACATGGGACCTAATGGGGGACCGGCAGCTGCCATGCCAGCCGGTATGTTTGTTTTAAGCTTTGTGGTATGAGTTATTTTTTCCATGGTTTTCTTCATGGTTTTTAATTTACCAGCCGCCTTAGACATTTTTAATTGTTTAGTTTTTTATTCAGAATTTATTAAAGGAAATGTAAAATTAAGTATGGTTATGCAAAAAATAGATTCAGATTGAGTTGTTTTGTAAGTGTTGGTGTTTTCACTTCACAGCTGTTTGGTTAGAAAACTGAGATACCAGATTTTTTCGAAATACATACTTTAGATGAATACCCTACAACCCTACAAACATTTTCTATTGCGGAAGTTACCCGAGTGAAACTTCCAAACGTGCTAAAAGCTCGCCAGCGATATTGCGGAAGTATACGAATTCTTGTCATCAGTTATCTTTTTTGAAATAGTATTAATAAAATTCAATATAATTAATTTCATGATAAAAATATCAAGGTAGTGTCATTCTCTCTTTTTGTCGCCATATTAACATTCTGACGTTTGCTGGTATTTTAATAAATCGAGCTACCACATTTATTTTGTAAATCCCATTTTTGTTTGTTTATTTTTCAATAAAAATAAAATTCAATTTAAACTAAACTAAAAATCAAACAAATTTAATAAAAAATTCAATAAAAATTTAAATAAATGTTCAAAAAATAAAAATGCATTTGAAAAAAAATGAGCAACCAAAACTATAAACTTCCTGTTAAGTCCTATATCAAATTGATTGTCTGTTGCTGTCCGTATCAAGAACGACTGCAGTTAGTGCTCCATCCGGTCCAAGAATACACGGTTTTCTTCAAGTGAAAAAATTTAACATGAAACCATTATTATTCGATGAAATGCGTGACATCATTTGGATTGCCTTAGGGACAGATCTTGATATGATGGTTACCAAGATACTCATAGGACTTAAATGCATTTCATGGATTCTGATAGGCATTCTAACGGGTAGGAATTAGAGAGATCGAGCATATAATTTGCCACTGTCCGAGGACACAGAATATTAGTTTGAAATGGCTGGGGAATAGGTTCCATAACAAACTGGAAGAAATTGCGGGATTTAACCCCCGCAGGGTACTAGCTTTTATCATTCGATTGGAGATTAGGATTATCTCACGTTTCTTTAATTAGGGAATTGGCTCGATAAATCTTCTGGGCTGAAACGCCATGTTTCAATTCATCATTCCTTTCTATCTATTTTATTTCCTTCTTGTTTTCTTTTAGTGTTCTTGTTTCTCCGTCTTTGGCTTCAGTCTCTTTGAAGGGAATCACCTTATGGTCTCAGAGTGAATGTTGTACTTTTTATGGCACATAATCCATAATTATACATAATTATACAAATTATACATAATTATACATTGCTTCAAAACCCTCTCAAATGATAACATACATTGTATACAACTTAAATAACAAACTAAAACAATACCTTTTTTATTCGGGATAGCTCAACAACAGTTACCCCTGGATCTAAATTATTTTTTAAAGTAGTAACATAAATTCCACAATCACAACACAAATTTCTTAAAAACTATTTTTCCCTTTTTTATCATGATTAATTTTTTCCCAGTATACTAAATTTTAAATTTTTTTATAATATTTAGAATGAAATATATATATTATATATAATTGTGAAGTGATAGTTAATTTATGTATATGGTTACTATACTAATAAAATTATTAAAATATATATGATAAAATATTAATAAATTGTGTTTTATTATAAAATGGTATAGCCGTCTGATTAGACGGATATGTCCATCAAGTGTGATTAGTGAACTGTGGATATATCCATCAAGAATGATTGGTCAACAATGACTGACTTATACATCAACTTGTATTTGTTTAACAGTGATGAATATATCCATCAAGCCTGATTAGTCAACCCTCGCTAACATTTCCATCATCCATGATTTGTAAAGTCGAGAGAATTCATAAGTGTGAGGGTGATGAAAAATCAAACGTAAGCAAATGTTTCCATCACTTTTTTCATATTGCCCTTAAGAAACTGATAAAAACTTTGTTCTACGATATGATAGAAACCATCCATCAGTAGTGCCAGTCAAATGACCGATCAAATGACTGTCACTGTTCTAGTAGGGATGTTACGATATGCCGTTAAAAATTCTAAAAAATAAAAATATTTATTTAATGAAATCCTATATTCTGCGTTTCGAATCAAAATTTTCTTCGTTTGGTATTCAGCATTCCGTTTCAATTAACATAGATGCGTATTATGATTTTGCATATTATACGTTGTTATCTTAATCTCCTAATAAACTTATTGTATTTATAAATTTGATTTAGACATTTCAGTTTTACATGAAAGTCTTCCAGTACTATTAACAAATGTACAAAAGAAAAGACACCTTAAATTAAAAATCTTTAAAAAATAAAGAAATACTCTTACACTGAATTGAAAGTTTTAACACAATTTTTTATTAAATTAAAACATCTTAAAATCATTTAAACAACAATGTTATTATCTTTGACCCGATTTGTTTTAAAAAACTCGAATATTTAAACATATTATAACGGACTTTTACGAATAAACTTTAAATTACAATTCCAGTGCTTTTCAAACCAATTTAACTTTTCACAGTTTAAGAGTTACTATATTTTTGACAAACTTCATTTTTCAACCCTTAGGTTAAAAAACGGCTGACAGAAAAATGAAAAAAGTGTAGTGTGAAGTTCTTTTTTGTGAAAGATTTAATAAAAAAATGTAAAATAGTTAATAAAATTACATAGTTATAGCTTATTGCAAAAAGAAATCGATTATATAAATTTTGTGGAATTCCAAAATATTGCAAATACTAATGTCGTATGAATGAAAAAATAAACAAATAAAAAAGTAAAGAGTGATACTTAATGCAAGGAAGAAGGGTGGTGAAAAGACAACTTTTTTGTCTCCAAACAAGTCATATTTTTTGTGCTGATATTTTGATAACATTCAAAGGGGGCATTGAGTTAAAAACTACCCCCTTTTATAGAAAAAACACTAAAGTTTCCCCCTTTAATTTATCCGATGGTGCGTAACAAAACCCAATCATCTTCATCGTCTTCATCATCGGGCAATGCCAGTAATAGTAGCAGCACCAAATCACCCATACGTCAGAATACCCATCGTAAATCGTCCAGTACTTGTAGTGTAGCTTTAATAGATGATGTCAAACCCTCCACATCCTCTGCCCGTCGTTCGCCTAACTCATCACCAGATGATGACACTGACGATTATGACACTACACCCGTAACCCAAAGATCAGCCTTTGGTTCGGTACATAAACAAAACCTCTACGTTGTTTCATTTCCCATCATATTCCTGTTCAACATACTACGTACGCTAATCTATCAGCTGTTTTGTATATTTCGTTATTTGTACGGAGCCAGCACCAAAGTCATTTATCGTCCACACAAACGCGAATGTAATATAGAAATTGTTGTTGGTTCTTCCTCATCGTCAGGTACAACACAAAATTCCACTTTAACAACTGTGACATCGAAAGATAGACATCAACTGCTTGAGCAGGCGCACAACGTAACTTCAACTGCAATTGCACCGTATCCACTTATTGGCTCACAACGCATACGTCCGCAACAACAATTGGAAATGTTTAATCGTAATAATGCCATCGCCTCAGGACCCGGTCCCGGTCCCGGTGATCCATTGTTGGCTAAACAGAAACATCATCATCGTCGTGCTTTCGAATATATTTCAAAGGCCTTGAAAATTGACGAAGAAAACGAAGGTAAGTGATGTTGTATTTATTGTTTGATTAATATGTTTTTTCTGTATTTGGCGTTCAATTATTTTGATATTGTAAAAAAAAATGACTCATTGTTTATAGCGGATGAGGGGGACAAAACAAAATCAATAAAATTGGCAAACATTTTTATAGATGCTTTTCTTTTATATGATTAGGGTAAATGTTTGTTATAAACAAATAAAATATCTTGAAGATTAAGTGGTTTTACAGGATTTTATTATATTACGTTCATTTAATACGTAATTTCAATATCTATGATGCTAAAACTATATTTTTCTAACATTTGCTATATGAGGTCATAATCTTTTTTACACCTACAAAAGGTAAATTGCATTAGAAGTTGTTTTGAAACCAGATTTTAAGCTTTTCTTCAATTCTTTATAAATAATTGCAAATATGCATAAGTAACAAGTTACTAAAGTGGGATCGAATGGCTTTTAAAACTTTATGAGTCTTAATAGAATGTTTTTTGATATACATACATATGTATGTAGATAGTTTTCTCAAAATTTCTTGTTCAGGAAATAATTTTTAATTAAAACATCTTAATACATGCACTTTTTTAAACTTTTAGGCCACAAAGAACTAGCAATCGAATTATATCGTAAAGGAATTAAAGAATTGGAAGATGGCATTGCCGTTGACTGCTGGAGTGGCAGAGGGGAAGTTTGGGAACGTGCCCAACGTTTACATGATAAAATGCAAACAAATCTTTCCATGGCTAGAGATCGTTTACATTTTCTAGGTATGTAATTAACTATTAGATTTACTAAACATTTGTTTAATTAAATTCTAACTAAAATGATTCAAAGTAGTTAAATTTATAAGCAGCATGTACTATTAAAAAAAAATATTTTAATTTTAATTATTAATTTTTTCATTATTTTAAGTTTTTTTTAATTTTATTTTATGTTCGTTTTTTTTTATGTCATAAACATCATTTTGTTGTTGTGTTTTGTTTTGTGGTATTTATAACAAAAAAACAAATGTTCGAAAACAAACATGTAGAGTTGCGTGACGAACAATTACGTTTGGAACAACTGCATCTGAAAGATGAAAAAGAACAAAAGGCAAAGCCAATTGCAAATCGTCCCAATTTGAAATATAGAAAAACTACTACTCCAACTTCTACAGCAAAATCTTCAAATATACAAATTGTGCAACCCATGCAATTAGATTCTAATAGTAGTCCAACTACAATACCAATGGTTCGTACAAATAATACGACTAAGTTACGCAGCATAGCTGCACATAATTTAAGAAATAATAATAATCCAAATACAACTACTACCTCCTCAACTAGTACGGGGTCATCTGCAGCAGGTAAGTTTTAATGTTTTCTTATTAAAACTTAATAAATACATATGTAAACACCGGGGACATATAATGAACGAATTGCACTCGTTAATGTTTATTTATGTTTAAATTCGAATAATGTTACAGCAAAGCTTCAACTCATCATCATCACACACAATGCACGTTTAACAAAATGATTTATTTATTTAATTTTGTTTTATTTTCTTTTTGGCTTTTTAAAAATGGAATTACATATTCTTATATCAATACATAATATTAAAAAATCGATCTATTATAATGTATATTTGATTATTTTTTCAGCTTCTGGTCGCAAACTGACCGTTAGTTCTAAACGACCCGGTAATTTGGCAGTTGCAAATAAATCCCAAACTTTACCACGTAATTTGGGTTCGAAAAATGCAATAGCTAGTGTGCCACGCATAAAAACTGCCGCTACACCACCCGCTGTACGCAGACAGTTTGTAAGTAAAGTGTTTTTTCTTCCCTTAAGTGTTAACTTCTTTTAAATAACATCATAATTGGCTTATTTGTTTCAGTCGTCCGGACGCAATACACCTCCTCAACGATCACGTACACCTATCAGCGGTATTGGCAGTGGACAATCAAATAGTGGTTCCAACACGCCTAGTGTTAGTGTTAAAGGTGTTGAACAGAAATTAGTTCAAATAATACTCGATGAAATAGTCGAGGGTGGCGCTAAAGTTGAATGGAGCGATATTGCTGGTCAAGAGGTTGCCAAACAGGCATTACAGGAAATGGTTATTCTGCCAGCTGTACGACCAGAGTTATTTACAGGTAATGGATTTTAAATCGACATAGTTTTCTAAACGTTTTGAACTTAATATCTTATTTTTCTCTCATATTTTCTTAGGTTTACGCGCTCCTGCTAAAGGTCTTTTACTTTTCGGTCCGCCAGGTAATGGCAAAACTTTACTGGCACGTGCAGTAGCTACCGAATGTAGTGCTACATTCCTAAACATTTCGGCAGCTTCTCTAACTAGCAAATACGTGGGTGATGGTGAGAAATTAGTTAGAGCTCTCTTTGCGGTGGCCAGAGAAATGCAACCGTCTATAATATTCATCGATGAAGTTGATTCTTTGCTCTCAGAACGTAGCAGTAATGAACATGAAGCTTCCAGACGTTTAAAAACAGAATTTCTGGTTGAATTTGATGGTCTGCCAGGTAATCCTGATGGTGATCGTATTGTTGTTTTAGCAGCCACTAATCGGCCACAGGAATTAGATGAGGCTGCTCTAAGAAGATTTACGAAACGCGTTTATGTCGCATTGCCCGATATAGAGACTCGTGAATTGTTATTGCGACGTTTATTACAAAAACAAGGTAGTCCTCTTGATACGGACGCTCTTAAACGTCTGGCTAAGCTAACCGAAGGCTATTCCGGTTCAGATTTAACCGCTCTAGCTAAAGATGCAGCTCTAGAACCAATACGGGAATTAGATGTTGAACAGGTTAAATGTTTGGACATCAGTGCTATGCGTCCTATAACAGAAAATGATTTTCATAATTCCCTTAAGCGTATACGTCGTTCGGTGGCACCGCAAAGTTTAACATCTTATGAAAAATGGTCTCAAGAATATGGTGATATTACCATATAAAGTATAAAAGAAAACTATATCTTAACACTCACTTTAACACCAAAACACATACACACTCAAATACACAAACAACATGAAAATACTCCACCACTATTAACTACACATTTATTTAGGATATTTAAATTCATATTATGTTTAACAACTATATAAATATATGATTTTATTCCTTACATTATTTAATTAATCTATCACTACTACAGCAGAAACAAATATGTAACCACCACCACCTTCACCGTACTACTCCTCTAACCCTCCAAAAAAAAAAAATGCATAAAACATCCTGCTCATATTTAATTTCAACAAGCACAGAGAGCGAGTGATATTGTATGGCAGTTGCATTCTAAGGAGTTTATTTATATGTGAGTGTATCCCAATTTCTTTTTTATATTTTTATACTTTAGGTAAATTAGTTTTAGTTTTAATTTTGTTGTTGTCTCTTTGATTTTTGTAAAATATACACACACACATCATGATTCTATTCTATTGATTTCAATAGTCCTATTAAATGTTTCATTTCCTATAGACTTTACAATTTATGTGTGTTCTCTATAATCTAATAGTTTCATAGAGTGTTTTCTTTAAATTTCATTACATTAAAAAAATCACAAAAGTGCCCTTCGAATAATTTGAAATTAAAAATTTGTATTTCTTGTTACATTTCACCAAAAGAAACTTTTAACATTTAAGGGCTTTAACATTAACTTTAAAATATTGTTATGAAATCATGTTTTTCTCATGCTCTCATATTTCTCTCACTAGTTAGTGTAAGTTTTCCCTCCTGTATTTTTCATGTAATTACAAGTTTATGACATTTAAGTTAATTACATTAATTTGAGATTTGTTTTAAAATTTCACTACTATTTTTTTATATTATAAAAAATCGTTGCCATTTTTGATAAAAAGAAACTTGTAAACTTTAAACAAAAATGCTTAATGTTCAAATATTATTATTTTTGTTTTGCTTATAAAATTATTTTTAAATCTAATCAAACTATTAAGTAATATATATAACAAACACTCTTCTGTTTTCATTATATAAAGCCTTTAAATATCCTTTAAACTATTTTGTATGATCTATAACTTATTTGAAAATAGTACAGGTTTATGTTTATGATTTATCTTTAATATTTAGAATAAACTATTTTTGTATAAATTAAACTTTACCTCTTTGGCAATAAAATAGTTTTTCTAAATTTAAAAATTTTTTTATTACAAAATTTATTAAACAAATAATGAAAATCACTTATTGTATTTATTTTATTGTTTCTTCTACCTGATGACAAGGGAATGCTATTTTATCTTCATTTTTTACATCCGAGTCCCTTAGGCCATATATGATTTATATATAAACAAATATTTCGGTGCTTGCAAACCTAAATCTAATTGTTTTATTTAAATAACGTGGTTAATTTCCATAACACTATTTGAAGTTAAAAAAAAACGTTCAAACTTAAATTTATCATTTTGAACAAATTTATAATTCCATTCACTCAAATGAAATCCTACTACATATTTATATACAAACATGGAAAATTTAGTATAAGTATGGAAAATTTAGTATTTTAGTACATTTTTTAGTACTTTAGTACCCTCACGGCATATGAAGTACATTTTTATGTAATAAAATTTGTTTACTAATCAATGGACTAATAGGATTAGTCAATAGACTACACTGAAAATAATCCATGCCTAATATACACGAAATATGTTGTACATTGTACGAAATGCTTCGTGGTTTCGCACCACGAAAGTATTTCGTAATATATACGAAATTGTACGAAATATTTTAGTAAAATGCAACATAATTTTATATAATTTTAGAAAAAAAATTTGTTCATTTTACGATTTTTTTAAAAAACATAAATATTTTAGTTCTTTCAAAATAATTATCGTAAATTTAGAAAAAGATTGCGAATTAAAAAAAAACAAATTTTTTATGTTCTTTAAAAAAACATAAAAAATTTAAATAAAAAATTACGTTTAATTTAACTCCCTTAAAATTACGAAAATAACAAAAAAAAAAAATCGTAACAAAATAATTTTTTTACTAAATAATCTTGTTACGAAAAAAAATCGTTACTTTCGTTAAATATTACATGCCTTAACGAAATTATTTGTGTAAAAGTAAACAAAGTTTCTTAATATATACGAAAAAAGATATTACGAAAGGTTTTCGTACTTTCGTAAAATTAGAAAAGGGGTTGATTAAACAATATTTCGTATATATTACGAAAACAGTAGTTACGAAATTTTTTTTCGTAAAGTTAAGCATGGGTTATTTTCAGTGTAGCAATATATCAGTTAATAGACTATTCCAGAGACTAGTCCATTGGCTACACAATAGACTACTCTATAGACTAGCCAATAGAATAATTCAAAACATTGTCTGTGGACTTGGTAATAGACTAGTTTGTAGACTAGTCGGTAGAATAGTCCATCGAGTAGACTAATCAATTGATCTGTCTCTAGATTATTCTATGGACTAGTCAATATAACAATATATGGACTATTCAGTAGAAAAATCCACATACTAGTCCTTAGAATAATCCATAGACATGTCCACGGACAAGCCAATAGACTATTCCACAGACTAGTAGAAATAATAGTCCATAGAGTAGCCAATAGACCTGTTCCTATATTAGTCTACAAACTAGTCAATAGAACAGTCTATGTACTAGTCGTTAGACAAATCCACAATCTATGGACTATTCAGTAGAAAAATCCATATACTAGTCTTTCACTAATCCATAGACATGGCCATGAACTAACCAATAGACTACTCCATTGACTAGTAGAAAGAATAGTCCATAGAGTAGTCAATAGACCTGTCTCTATATTGGTCTAAAAACTAGTCAATAGAGCAGTCTATGTACTACTTAGTCAAAAGACAAATCCATAGTCTGTTCAATAGACTGACTAGACAATAGAGTAGTCCACCCATAGTATAGTCTAGTGTATAGACTAGTTCAATGAAAAACTAATCAAAATCAATAGTCCAGTTTACAGTTAGTACTATTTCGAAATTTCAATTTTTTTCATGCCGGTTGGAAAGCTTATTATAGGTTCGTGCTGATGTTTGTAACGCATGGAATTATACACCTACAGTAAAATATACCAATCGACTTCGAATCGAGTTAAATACACTAGTATTATAACAAAAATCTGTAGAAAACTTAACAACACTGGTTGAGAAATAACAAATATAATGTACTTGTTCCAATTAAGTATATATTCGGATAATAATTCTGAAGAATTAAGTGTGATCCATCACTCTACCTATGTCATTTTCTTATTAAATCAACATTTAAGCATAAATTTTACGTAGTCTAATATCAAAAATGGCAACGTTTAACATTAGTTATTTAATTAAATTTTTAATCTTAGTTATTTAATTTGTAATATGTATTACAAACTCATACATCAATGAATACATACATATATAAATAATTATCTTATATACATTATATTTGTATGTATATATCGTTAGTTTGCAACTAAACATCTTAAAATCCTAGAGCAAATGTTAGAATTTATTTTAAATTAAAACATTGCAAACAAACACTTCAGATTCCTGAATAGAAAGTTTGGATCAACTGATAATCTTCATTAATTATTTTCAAGCAACTAGTTCTTGATAATGGTTCCACACAAGTCTGGTTCAACGATTTCAGGGCCGACTCACTTGGGTCCATGAGCTAATTCCATTGTGTTAACCAATATAGTTTATGCCTCGACTCATCCACAGTGTGATCGAACTATTTCGATTCAATGAATGAATGTGTCTATATTGTTAATATTTCTGATATCTGACAAAGCAGAACAGAGATAAGTTAAAATGGTACACAAATTAGTCTCTTATGTCATGTCTCGATGTCGAGCATGTGGTTAGGGATACTCTTCTGAATAGATCTATAGAGTTCCCGTTATATAGGAAGTTTACAGCGGTAGGTCGATTAATCCTGGATTTACTGTTAGTATAAATTCGAATATTTCTATTGTACTAGTACCCTATAGCAGAGCGGTAAATATGTCATTCATTTTTGATTTTAATTCGTTACAAATTACCAAAGATTTGAATTAATTCTTTTCACAACAAGAAAAGACTTGAATGAAATCAATTCAAACGAATTAGGCAGAAATGATTCCAATTCAAATAAATTCGGTAAAAATGAATTGCAATTCATTTTCAATTCAAATGAGTTGGACATTAATTGCTTAACTTTGACAAATACATTTGAATTAGAAACAAATTGCGATTCATTCTACAAATTTATTTGAATTGGAAACGAATTGCAATTCATTTGAGTTGGAAATGAATTACAATTCATTTTTACCAAATTCTTGTAAATTGACTCAAATTCCATTCTTTTTTTTGTGAAAAGAAAATTTAAAAAATTGCTAATTCAATGCACGAATAATGCGCGAATTGATTCAAATATTAATGATTCCTTTACAACTCTGTCCTATAGCATCTTAGTATGTACTTCAAATTACCTATAAATAAAACAAACACATTCCACAATTCAAAATATTTTTATATCTTAGAATTATCTATTTTAAGCAAACTAATCTGATATTAGTTTTAAAAATTAACTGTACGAATTAATTTTTATGTAGTTTTTTAAATCATTATTTTACAATACATTTTTGCCTATCTATTGTGTTTAGTTATAATTATTAATTGTTAAAAGGAAATAACACAAACTTCCATTAAACCTATATAAAATAATTACATCCGTTATATTTTAAACAATAGTTGGTATTTATATATTTTTGCTAATTAACTAAAATAAAAATTATTGAACGAAACTCAAATCAAAATCCATAAACTATATAATTGTAAATTGTTTAAATAGAAACTAAAATAACATCCCTATAATACACATAAAATTAATTATTTTTACTTTTTAAACTTAGAAAACTAAATATTTTATTTATTTATAATTTGCATATGAACGAATAAATTCGTATAAACTTTGGAATTGGTATATATTTATAATAAAATTTATTTTAAATTGATAAACAGTTAAATAAAAAAGAAGAAGATGATTAACAATATTAATGAGTAGTACAATAAATAACACGAGTTTATTCTAACGTATAACTTACAATTTGCATTTGTTTTTTTTAGTTTAGTATATAATTAATTTATACATTTATTGTTCTCTAGTATTTAAATCACAAAGTAATTTTATATGCAACATATAAATGGTTTTTCTTATATGATTTCTCATACATATTTATTATTTAAATTAATATTTTTTTCTTTTAGTGTAAAAAAAAATTTACAAACAATAAAGAAAAAAAGTGGATATTTATTAATTGTATGTAAATGTAGCATTAACAGAATTTGCATAATATTTATTATATTTTATGATTAGTATACATAAACATAAATAAACAATTATTTAATTAAGTGGAGGAAAAATAACGTATTTTGGAACGTTTAAAAATAAAAATTATTGAAAAAAAAAATATTCATACAAATAACTAATGTTTATTATTAAATAGAACAGAACCTTAAAATTAATCATTCATTTTTGATTTCAATTCGTTACGAATTTGAATAAATTTTGAATTTATTCTTTTCACAATTCAAATTAATTTCCAATTCAAATAAGTTTGTAAAAATTGTTTGTAATTCGTTTTCAATTCAAATGAATCTGTAAAATGAATTGCAATTCAATTCCAATTCATTTGAATTCATTAAATTCAAATGAATTAGAATAATGAATTGCAATTCAAATGAATGAAATCAAAAATGAGTTGTCATCAATCAAATTCAAGAGCAGATCTAAGGGGGAATGAAATATGGAAATTTCTACTACCAAAATAAAAATATTCGGTACAAAATTTGAAAAGCCTTATTCTGAATCCGCGCCTGACCAAAGAAAACATTTTGCTTAAAGTTCATAATTGTAAAGACGCTACCGAAACAATGATCAGTTTTATATATTAAAGAAACACAAACGATAATAAGAATCGTGTTAAATCGCTGAAGATTTATAAGTGAATAATTTTTACGGGCTTTTGCTATTAGAAACTTAGTTACGCAGTGAAAATATATTTACAATAACAATAAACTCTTTAATATTAAATATTATGCAGTTCATATGTAAGAACAAGTGGCTTCAATGATATTTCAAAATTATAAAAATAGTTTGCATAAATTTGGTGATTTAAAATTGGTCGCATAAACAAAAGCAGTAGTTAACAAGTTACATGAACTAAAGAAGAATGATTTAAAACCTTCACGAAGAATCCAAAAGGTTACAGCATCGATTCCAATATACACACTTCAAAAATACTGGGAGTTATAAAAAACAACAAAGGGTAAGTGTTTTCTTTGACTTTTCTGTATAATTCATTCAGTTGCAAATAAATATTGTAAAAGTTTTAAAAAATAATAAAAAATTATTAATAATGTATTGGACCTCTAGATCCAATATCGTAATTCGTTTCAGAAAATGTATACATACATATAAAATTCAAAATAAGTTATCATCACTTTTCATAGTTTTACAGGAGAAGCAAAAAAACGTTATAAAATGAAAATTATTTAAGATATACATAAATGCAATTTCAGAAGAAACATATTATTTTCCTAATTATTTTTCATGTTATGTTTCCTTATTTTGCATTTGTGTTTACTGAAACAAAATTACGTATTATCAGTGAAATATTTTAGTATAAATTGAAA